AAGTCTCGGTACGGTGCGTTACGCAGTGTATTGTCTGGTAATGAGGTGTTTCCCTGCACCCTCCGTGCACCCTCCGCGGCCCCGTCCGCTGAACCCCCTTCACCCCTTCCCCGTGTGCGCCCTCTCATTGTGCTCGGGCCCGTCTCCCGGTGATTGGCTGACGACCGCCCGCCCGCTCTGCCTTTTTCCACTCCTACCTGTCGTCGTTGCGCTCTCCCTCTTCATTGTTTTGCCCGGCCGCGAGTACGGTAACTTTTCTACCGTACCGTCGAGCAATTATCGTACAATAACAAGCTTGGTATAATGTAGAGTCCCTTTATACCCAGAGTTACGACATCTCACTTTTGGTTGGGCTAAAAGTGGCCTAAAAAAAATCCAATTCTGATTGGGTCTCGCTAATGGAGTCGCAAATGAGTGCACCAAGACGGCGGTAGGTACCTCAAATGTGAACACAAAGAATGTAAATATAACCAAATTGTGGTTTATCAAGAGTGAATTGTTATTTTTATCGCACCAAAATGAAAAAATATTATCCACTTATCAATCTAATTTTATTTTATTGCAATTTCAATGGTTAGGGTCTGATCAGTTTTGTTGATATTGTTATTTTTGGATGACAGACATCGCAGGATTCCTTATCCTTATCCCTCAATATCGTTCGTTTGGGTGCACACTTTTGTGACACCATGGCCAGCCCAGGCCAGCTGATAATCGAGATGTCTTAACTCTGGGTATAAAGGGACTCTAGTATAATGGTTGCATTGCGATAGCCTCAGAAATCATCAGTGAGGATTGGCGTGCAGGGTGCAGAAAGTTCAACGCCTATCCCGATGAAAAACCTCTCTCTTCTCAAAATTTTTGGCCATAATTGTTTGGTATTCTTTTCTCTGCGTTAATAAAACACTTACCGCGCAATCAGCGATTTGCCATGACAACGCTAGCCGGCCCTCTCATTTTTCGACAAGTTTCCCTACTTTCCACACGTTCTGTCCCAATTTCCACACATCATTCCCATACACTTTACACGGATTTTCGATTTTCCAACGCAATTAAAATCGCACGGTCTGGAAGATTCTGCGCTTCAATTCAGCGCGACCTGCAGAGACTCATTAATTGGATTCCATTTTGCGATTAATTGGAAACTGAAAGTTCTGGCTCATCCGAAAAGAAAAAAATTGAGACGAAGGAAAAATAATGTTACATACGTCGTTCCTAAACTGAGCCGTAAATCGTGGATCCTAATATTGCAAAAAGCAGTCCCATTATTTCCAGGGCCGGATTAAGGGGATGGCCACATGGGCCGCGGCCCATGGCCGCAAATCTAGGAGGCGGCAAATTTTGCAATTTTTTAAAATGTAGGTATAAAAGAAAATCGGATTTAGAAAAAAATTACAAACAAAATCTCTCATTTCCTGAGAGTATAGTAATTTATAATTTTGTCGTCTTTCGTTGATACAAGAGACAGCACCTTTAATTAATGGAGTTAAGAGAGGGACCAAACACGCAATTTGGCCAGGAACCGCGCGACTGAGAGAGAAATGATGACGAGGACTTGAGATGAAAAGGAGAAGCCCGCGGCGCGGCGGTCGGCATGTAACACATATTAGCGCCTACAAGACTGCACGAATACTTCACGCATTGCATCAAAGACAGTGCGGTCTCTGCGGCCAGCGTGAAACGGATAGCGCCTACGAGAACGCATGAATACTTCACACATTGCGCCAAACACAGTGCGGTCAGCGTGAAACGCATAGCGCCTACAAGACTGCGTGAATACTTCACGCATTGCTCCAAACACGGTGCGGTCTGCGCGGCGCGGCGGGGGAAGTTAAAATCATTAAGCCACATTTATGTTTGTTCTTTCATAATTTTTTCGTTCATTTCTTATGAATGGAAGGCCTTATCCACGCGGGATAGGTTTACGAAACTTAACGTTCGCGCAAAGTTCGGTGAATTTTTGCTAGTAGTGTTGACAGGGCTTTCCCAAAAAATGTTTCCAACACGAGTAAACGCGTCTTATGCATCCCACCCCCGCTGGCACGTTCACGTGATGCGGTTTTTATTGATGTTTCAAAACGAACGGGAAGGGGACGGCAAAATACAGGCGGCCCATGGGCGGCAAGTAGGTAAATCCGGCCCTGATTATTTCTAGATAACTTTGAAAATCGTTGTTTGACGTTCCCAAATTTTCGTTAGAATTGAAAGAGAAAAATGATTTGCTTGGACAAAAATTATTTCGAGAGCCGAATGCACAAGTCAACATAAACAAACATGTTTCATTGTCATTATAGTTGTGCTATAATCAGGGTCAATCTGGTTCGATAGTCTTCGATCGCGGACCAAGAACGCTGATGAAAATAATGTTTCAATGGTTTTAATTGCATTGACGTTCTCTGCGCTGACACTAGAGAAGTACCGCCCCACCCCCTCCCCCAAATGGAAAGGGTTTTTATCTGTAATATATTTTTTTTATTAGTCAAAAAGACTTGAACACGCGATCTAACTTTAAAATTGGCAGACGAGGTTTTAAACGGTTTAATCGCCTAGATTCGAGGGAGATTCTCTCTTGGTCAAAACCATGATACAAAACATACATCCTGGAGTGAGATAGTTGTAGCAGGACGTTTCCTGGCCTACCTTGGAGATTGAAGGCGAAATAAGTCTTTACATCTACACGTCTTTCGCTTTAACTCTACTTTCCCTAAATTTTTTATTCGATTGCTATCTTTTTTTTTCAACTAGGTCTAAGAGCGCCTTACACTGGAGAGGTAAGAGGCTCCTTGTCAGTAAAAAACTGATAAAGATGTAGTTTCCTTCCGTTTAATGCGGGTCGAGCCGTCGTTAAATGTTCCTTAGATTATATTTTAGTTCCCGCGCACGACTTTGCGCTGTATAGGCTGAAAGTCGTAAAATTGGAGAACACTGCACACAACATGTTAAAGAGCCTCGCCAAAAAGTGGTGTTTTTTAGCCCCTTTTTTTATACCCGAGTTGGTCAACCGGGCAGTGCTCAAATGAAAGCCTATGGTAAGGCAAACTTCCATGCAAAGTTTCAACTTGAAGTGACCCCTCGTTTAGGCTGTACAGCGTTGCCAATTTTTAATTTTTATGCGCGATACTCAAGGAATACTGGATTCATCATGGTTGAACAGACTAGTATACCCGAGTTGGTCAACGAGACAAGGCCTAAACGAAAGCTTATGGTAAGGCAAACTTCCAGGAAAAGTTTCACTTTGAAGTGAAACCTTGTTTAGGCTGTACAGCGTT